CATCGTCGAAAATCGATAACCGCCCGCGAAATCAGACTGTGTCGTGCACAAGCCCAGCTTAGATCTCTGACCCCGGACGATTCACCGGTGACCCGTACAATTTCTACGCAAATAGCTCTGACAATTACGAGCAGGGCAGATAATACGCTCGGATAAATGGCACTTGATCCCTTATAATGCTCTACGAGTCGCGTGCTCATGTACAGAGTTAGAATTGGTATCGTTATAAACACGATTATTTGTTGTATTACTAGCCGAACGAGGTCTCGCCGTATCAACCCTTTAGTCCAATACTAGATTTCCCCTCTCAATACATCATTTCCACGAAAAACTATTATCCGCCGATGCTTCCGGTAACGCGATACCGTTCGCCTCTGACATCGTTCAATTTTCACTTTAACCGGAAACTGCTCTTTCATTCGGCCGCAAGGACACAGGTTATTTCAGGTAACAGCACTCATCCCGTCTCGTGCTGTGCGCAGGATAAAAATAAATATCGAACCTCGGCCCAGCGGGATTCGGTCGGTCGGATAAATAAATCCCGTCATCAAACTCTTTAAAAGCTTGTTTCGACGGACGGGTCGGACGCCGGGCGAAGGACGGAGGGGAAAAAAAAAATGCGGGGGCGACGAGTGCAGCGGTGAATTTTAACCTGGAAGCGTTTGCCGGACAAGTGTCTGTAATAGGCTCCTTGTACCGCTTTTTTAGCCGCCGCCGCCGCTTTAGTACCCACTTTATCACGGTGTGGTCGTTTCGTTTCGAGTGGATTATCCTGCATCCGACGCATTGCCGCAGGTGGGCACGGTTTATAGTCCAGGTTATTACGATCAAACCTCATTGTGCAGCATGTTGACGCTGCTAGGTCTTGCCCGGTATCAAGCGGTATACTTATATCCCGGGCTTCAAACACCGGTACCGGACGTTTCCCGTATCAACGGATCGTAAGCGCGATGTCAGGTCAGGAATAAATTACAGCAACGTACATACTCTATGTTTCCTGCTTAAACTTGTTTACTAGGCTGTTATATATTACGCGATTAATTATTACAACGCGTTTTTTCAAAGTAGATTATTAATGAAACGTCAAAGAATGGTTTAGTAATTAAATGCTTAAACATCGTACAGAATTTGATAAAATTATATTAACCAATCTAGGAAATAATAAGTCACGTTAATTTCGAACTGATATCAAATGTTTTAAAAAAACGATCACGTTTCAAGAACGATTATAATTTTTACGAGTATCAATATTTCACTCGAAATTGGACAGTGAAATTTTTTGCGGTCCGGCTACGCCGTAAGCATAGCGAGCTAGATATAAAAATGTCCAATAACCGTTCTATGCCGACGGGGGGTGACGTGAATCGCAGAGATCAAAAGTCTCTCTGTCCACCACCGGTGCAATCGTAATGTTGACATTTCGAATTCGACAACGATGCATCTGGTGAACGATAGGAGAGTTATAGTTGCCTGACAATTCGTCGCGAATTTTTAATGACACAATCCGCGTTGACCATCGTTCTTTTTGATTGTATTCGAGAGGAGCGCGCAGCCGTCTATAAGCGCGTATAAAATATTACGAACGCGGACGTACGCGAACATGCGTTAGCGCGAAACACCGGGCCGAAAGCTTGTTCGTATCATAAAATAACGAGTATATTTATTAGAATTAATGTTGGCTCAGCTATGTGCAGTGCGTCCGTACAAATATACGTATGCAAATATACATACACATTTAATGCTTCTCTACGTGTTACGTCGCACGAAGTTTTGATTAATTTCTTTACAACGCAAGTAATCTCCGTGGAAATGATTTTTTATACCGGTTTCTGTTGTATAATAAAACCGGCACGGCCAAAAATAATAAGCAATTAATGCTCGCGATAATTTCGTAGTTTGTTAGAGTTACGATACTCCAAGTATTTACATAAACGGATATATTTTTCTCACGGATACGATTCGTAAAAATTATTCGCGGAAATAAAATTCGTCATTATTTTGAAAGACGCCAGACAGACATTCGCATAACGAAATGCGAGTTTTTAAAACATTTCTCGAAATTGTTACTCTTAATTATATGGAAACTTGCGAAAAAATTTTAATTCGAAAAATGACTAACGAGTATTCTTAATTAGAGAATGAGATAAAAAATATGGAACATAAACACGGCAACAACAAACGATGGTGAATTTTCCTATTCATAAATTCCGTGATTTCATTAATAAAAAAAAGAAGACTTCTTCAAAATTAGTTTACGTATAATCGAACTTTCATTCGTCTCTAACAAAATTGTTTACCATTTATACGTTTTATCAACATTTAAGCGTCACGGTGGATCTTCGCGAGAAGTGTACACTGATTAGTTCCACCTTAAGGTAAACTTATATGAGAGTGTACATCTGATAGAGAAACTTTTTATCAAGTTGAATGAGAGGAGCGCGGAGTTCCTTGATGCAAAGCCAAGCGTAAAATAAACCGGAGACAAAGTTACATCGTTGGAAAAGTTAGCGTCCTAAGAGACGACCGCGACATGTGTAGGGTTTCCGGAACCGGAGAGAAAATTGCAAAATTTCAATCCATCATTACTTCTCATTCGTTTTTCGCTCCTTCTTTTTTTTTTCCATTCGATTCGCGCTCGTTTCGTTTCCGCGTCACCGAGTAAAATGTCACCGCGCGATTTACTATCTCCCGTTCCACATAATCTGCTAGATGCGCTATGTTATTTGTCCGATGCCATAACGCGTATACATGTACATTTAGCAGAATATTACCGGTGTCCGCGAACATTATTTATCGGTTACTCGTTTTGGTTCGTCGTAATAGTTGTATACGAGAAATCGTAAAATAATCCTGAAACGAAGGATATAACAAAATTATGTTCCTAGATAAATACACGTTAATTACAGCTTGCTATTACTTTTCTATTTTACACAACTGCCGCGTGCAATTCGATCTCGTAATATCCGATACGTGACATCAGTCCTATCAACTTGTGCACCTGACGTGGACGTCATACTACTATTTTACTACTTTACGCGAGAAAATTGGAAAACTTATTTTATCACGATAGAACAAGCTAGCTTATCCCTCCATTATCGAAGTAATTAGTTCCGTTGTCGATTACCCGCTCAGCTAATTAAAACACTATTAATTATTAACAAGTTGTCAGTCATGTTTTTCTCAAAACGGATGATGTACAAAAGGTAAATAAGAAAATGGAGAACTTTTTACAGCGAATCGATTACGGGATAAAAAATTGGAAAAAAACTGGAATCAATGTTGTGAGCAACTTCGAGGTAAATGTACGTATCTCGGCGTAGCAATTACCGTTGCCCATTCTGGGGGCTTCCCTTTGTGCGGTTTTCCGGGAATTTTTTCGTGCCCCGCATCGTATCGGAGGCGGGGGAAAATTCATCGGTCGCCCGCGCTCGTATTTTATCTCGCCTTGCGCACCCGGTGTGTCGTGCAGGTGCTCGGATAATTTAGAACACTTACCGGCGAGTGTAGAGCATACGAAAGTAGGTTCGGCGGATAAGAGCATGCAGATATATACGTACGAATACACAGATACGTCGTGTATCTTGTTTTACGGTTAGACCTAAGTGTCGTGAAGAGGGTTAACAAGGGGAGGCGCGAGGTGCTGCGGCAACGACTGCCACGTCGACCTAAGTCCTGAACACACTCCGAACCGAACACGGCACAGTTGCGTTGCGTTGATAAAGGTTACCATTGCGCGTGCGTTCGCAGCGTTGTTACGCAGCATCGTATTATCAGGGATAGATTTACACGAGTAAACAACACCGCCACCCGGGGACCGGGTACAAATTGAGATTAAAGTTAAGCCCCGCCGAATATCGGAATTATTCGTCCTCACGGATTAATTGAGATCAATTAAAGGGCATTGGACTTGGGTAATGGTCGCCGACGAGGCAAGCAGTCATTTCTATGAATATAACCGACGAAGAACAGCGAATATTGTTGTCCCCCGTACCTTCGGGAGGGAAATTGTTAACAGTTTACCGTCGAACGTTGTAATTAGTCGACTAAATGCTCTAATACGTTATAATATCGATAGCGGACTCAACTACTGCAAAATTGTATGAAATACAGCAGTGACTATTATGAACGTTCATGCTTTAAAATTCAGAAGAAAGCGAACATTGAAAGACTTGTAAGATGGATCGAGTTTCAACTCTTTCGCTCAACTGTTTGCTTGATATTCAAGACAAGAAGAACGATCGAACTGTGATACTGAGCCATTAAATGCAAATATCTATACAAATAGCATGACCAAGTGAAGAATACAGAACTCGTGTACAAAGGCTCGGGTCACCTTATACTTGTCAACTGAATAATTTAGTTTAGTGCTTTTGCTGACAACCCGGGGAACTAGTTTTCATGAAAAAGATATAAAGTTCGTTCCTGCCTTGCAGCATCAGTGCAGCGAGTTACATGGGACTGATGACTCCAAAAGCACACACCGTTCGCGAAGTTTACGCGACTCTCGTCGAGTTGGAGTTACACGTGTATACAGGAAAAATCATATCGCGGCCGAGTATCAACCTAGTTGTTCAAAGCATCGCAAATAATCTGTTTGGATAACAAAAATGTAGCTCTGTCTTGATCAAGTTTACTCTTATCTTACCCCACAAAACTTTTCAAAATAAAATCTCGCGCCTGTCATAACAGTTGCTCGTGATTATATCATAAGTTTTTATCACGTTGATTCATATTGTCATAATATATTTTAAAACATGATGGATATGGATAGAAACAAAAAATCTGTTCAATGAAATCATTGACGTCCGACTAACCGTTAATAAATGAACACCCTTTCTTTTTCCTTACTTGAACATTTATCTTATCCCCGCGCCCCAATCAATTCGTCGGATTATCTTCAAAGAGGAGTGACTTACCCCGGGCGTAGGCGATAATCGGTTAGTCGGAAAATTATTGATTGAGTAGGATAATAAATCGATGACATGAAATGATCTACTTACTCGTAGCGCTGACAGCTGGTCCGATGACCGAGTACTTGGGGTTACCGGTAACGGCCCCTGGGACGACCTTGTCCGGCTCTGAAATACATTATTGTAATTATCCTCGGAATATACAGTGCCGTTAATTACAGTTGGGAGTCCGCGTGTGCGAATGGAACACGGCCAATCTACCTTAGCAAACGGTCCCCATTCATGATTTATTACCTCATAAATATCGAGGACCATCCTTATTCCACCCGCGGAATTTCGTTCGAGACCGGAAAAGCTTCGTTTAATTGACCGGCCGATGGAATTTGACGAAAATTCGGTGACGGCTGTGTTCCGTCCGACGAGCGGCCGGGAAGAGGCGGAGGGTTTCACACGAATGTCAAGAGGTCGTTAATTAATTTGACCGCGATTAATATGCTAGTAGCGCGTAAGGAGGTTGAACCAACAAGAGATACCAATGTTATCGCCCGCGTAATAACGAATTTATGCAAATCGCCAGACCACCGATAACATGTCGACGTTGAATCGTGCTTAGCTGGTATCGAGCCGGACTTCGGTAAAGCTTAAAAATCATTGTTCAGGGAAGAAGCAACCGTAGATAAATGGAAAAGCTCTGGTTTTACGATACGCTGGAAAGCTTGGGAACCTGTGTTACCGGCAGAATGGGGATAAGGGTGGAAAGCTTCCCACAAGCGCTGACTTGAAGCGCTCCATCGCAAGCTCTGCTTTGGAGCGACGCTCCGCGTAGAGCTTGCAAAACGGTTCCTCTCGTGAATCTGTGGTACCGACAACAGATCGTCCGTAAAAGCACAGACTAGGTATGAGAGTACGACTATCAACCGATGCATTCTTCTGCCTCCCGCGCCATTATAATTTTAATGTCACATACAACGTTATCAGTAAATTATAGAAAATAATCCTAATCCTCAGTACGAAGGAAGTGAAGTAATGTATTGTAAAAATGACTCTGTTTAATAAATTAATGGAGAAAGATCTTGGCATTTTTATTTAGATGAATTATGATTTTGATAGATTATGGGGATGAAAATTAGAAATCGAAAGAAATATTCCTATACAAGGATTATTTAGAAGCTTGCTAGCGTTATACTATCAGAATTGCAATTGAAACCAACATTTAACTAAAAACATAGCTTTGTGTATCAATGAAAATAAATTTCAATTTCAAAGCAACATTGGTCGATTAAGTCACAGGGATTATAGATAAAGAATATATAATTTCCAGGAGCGATTAAAAATTTTTTAAACGTTGTTGCAATTCCACGAAATGCTGAATACTATCTGGGAACGTCGGTACCAACCGTAAGACGGTCGGCTATTCAAGTGGGAAACTAAAGGAGCCGACGGAAATGGAAATGAAATTGGTGGAAGGGAACACAGGAGGGGTTTATGTCGGGTGGATTTTCATAATGCCGGGAAATAGTGTCGTTCGTTACTCACCAGGATGCGGCGCATCGTCCAATGGCTGGAATTGGAACATCGCCTTGAAACCCTGGCCGGGCCACTCGGAATTAGCGACGAACTCGACGTATAGGTCTGACCCTGTGCTGAGTACTTCCACTTCCGCTCCTTGGTTGCACAGTACAGCTATTGTGGCCGCCCTTGAATCCGAGCCGTCGTGCACCCTGATTAAATCCGCCCTATTCAGGCAACTGTAACAAAATCCGTTACCTCCTGTTACCACCACTGTTTCCAGAAAACTTGTCAACAATTCTAAAACAAATTGCATTTGGTCGCCAATACTGTAGTACTAGCAATGTTCAAACAGTAAATATTGTAAATAATAAATTTAATAGATGGTTGTATATTGCTGTTAATTTTCACGCAATATCAAACACCTATGTAAAATGATAGTCAATTATCCATTTCAGATAGAAATTTCTATTATCACTGCAATGTGCGTTTATTCATCATATCTATTTCCGGTAATTAAATATGTTGTACAGCGTATCAATGAGAATATTGTATATTATTTAAATAAAAAGAATAAAAAAATCCGCCCAATTACTGAAGCATATCCTACCTCCACGAAACGTGAGAGATATCGCTGAGTAGATCGAGATCAGGGCAATCAGGCTAGAAAAATGGTCTTATTCTTACAGCGATAGTAGCTCGTTATCTTTCATTGTATTCCCACTGTTTGCCGATTCAGCGCACACGAACCCGATTCAGTCTTGCCGTGTCGACGACAACGAGACTGTTTTATTTGCTACGGAATGTATTCGATTTGCGGTAATTCGAGAGATTCGGGCGAGGAGGACACGAGGGGATGATCGGTAAAACCGGTCGTTATGCAAATTCGAAAGTTTCTCATGAGTTTCGCGGCCGCCGTGGGAGTTCCGTGTAAAAACGAATGAAATATGCTTGCCGATGTGTTCCGTTGTAGCGGACGCGCAACGTTTCAAATCGGTGAATCCGAGTTTTTTGTCGAGATAAAAGTTTTTATACGAGCGCAACTACAAAATACTGGGAGTACCGCGGGCGTTCTGAAATAAAACCGAATACGAGAATTTGTTCGGTCTTATTCAAGATATCCCGATTTTTAATTAAGCCCTCGTGTCACAATGTAACGATACCTGTTTTCGCTATAAATGAAAACACGGTTGATCAGAACCTAGACAAATTTTTCGGCAGCTATAAAAAAGCAAAAGCCAAAATGAGGAAGGCGAGACACGCGCGACTTTCCGACCTCGTTCATTTATCGACGTGTTCGCGCAACTTAAGAACTCCCAAGTCGATTCCCTTGGCTGAAGTGTAGCCGACGCTACACGTTCCTCTTCAAGGCCTGCCTCTCAACGAAGGTGAGATAAGTTCCCTCCCAGTGACTCGCCTCGTTGCGAGATCTCGCGAAAAAAGATACCTGCGTCGGGATAGGACGGAGGAGCGACGTAGAGGGTGCAGTGGTGTGGGAGGAGAGGGAAAGTGGAAGTCGTCGCGTTGAGTAAAAAAGACTAAAGGTCAGACTACAAACATATATTACATCGACAAAGCAAATGAAAAGAAAGGCAAGAAAGATTAAATTAAAATCCTTAAAAAGAAAAGATATTCTGCAAGCAGTCGATGTATACATAGATATACGTTTTTTGCCGAATGGAATACAAAGTGGATTATTCCTCACGGTCAAGCAGTTCGAACGAGAAGGATCGGCGATTCGATCGATTTAAAGGACCTGATCGATTACGATCACGGGATAACCTTATTACCTGTACGGGTTAAGCAATTACGCTGGCAGAGAAAGATTATCGTCGGGAAGGTCCGAGATTAAAGAGTTCGCCCCGTCTTTCCGTTCGCCGCCGCCCACCTCGTCTCGTTTCGTGTACACAAAACGGGGACACCGAATCTCCTGCGGAAATGAACTACCCCCGCCGCGAATGGCGTTAATCGAACGGTCGTCGATCAGTTCCGCTTCTATAACGAGAATTATGATTCGTGCATTTCCGATGGAAAAATGTTACGTTTCACCGTGGAACATAATGAACTCCGAATGCGTGATGAAACGAAGTAATTAAAAATTTTAATTCTGGTTTTAATCATGGGTGCGTCAGAAGTTTCATTAAACATTCTTAAAGCCACTTTGCGAGACGCACTACATCTTCAATTGCAAGCCAGACATTTATGATCAACGTGGATATCAATTAAGGTCGTAATCAAGTTTAATTAATGCATAAAAGTGGTTCTGCGAAATTTCATCGAGGGAGTTTGTATCTTTACATTTCACACTGCTTAAACATCCACATGTACAGCAATAAGACTTCATTAAAAGGAAGGTTTCCAGAAAGTGAGCCAAGGACATTAACCACTTGCATTTAAAACTACATGCTAGTTGAAGGAGCAATAGACCGAGACGTGAGCTGAACTAAAAATACCAAATAAAAATGTAACTAAAAAGAATTTTTTTCTCATAATCTATATTAGAAAACGAGTGACTGATCCAATCCACATTATGGGACATGATTAAAATTGAAGATGGATTAAAAAAGAAATGACGAAGATAGCGTGGGTCTATTTATGCTGATGATATTCAGCGATGCACGATTTCTTTAGGAGAGGAAAATGCAGCCAGCCTAGTGACTGAATATCTTTAACGACGGCGACCACGTTAAAACTGCACAGATGCTGACTTCCTACCGTGTGCACGAAGCGAGGCTCGCACGGAAGGACGCCGAAATTTTCGAGAAAGTACAAGGTACATTTCTTTTAGACAGGAAATCGTATTTTCGTGGGTGTGAGAAAGGAGCAGGTCAACCGTGAGGCCGGGATAAAAGAAAAGAGAAGACGTGCCGCGTTAATGTCAGAGTGGAACATAAACTTTCCTTCCTACGCAGTAATAAGCAAATTCATTTTTAAGCCGACGCTTTCAGTTTAATTGTTCAAACCGTAATTCTTTATTTTTAGCTGTCCAGTGAAACGTATCCAAGCTCTTGCTACGGGATGAATCTAAATGATAGATATCCGGCTTTTAAGGCGTGCGTTGCTGCCTGTTAAACGTACCTTCAGCACAAATTCCCTCGAAGCGGCAACCAAAAATCGAACAAGGGGGTGATACACCCTATCTCCCACGAGTTCTCTAGAGTGCTCGGGAATGGGTGTATCGAGTGGCTGACAGAGAGGAGTCTCTCGGTATCCATCAGCTCCATTCAGGATAATATCCGAGTGCGTCTGACAGTGCGGCTTAACGCTGATATATCGAAGCATTTCTCAGCGGTCTTCCTCCCTCTTACCAAGTTTTACCGCGACCTTCTCCCGGTAAACTTTATCGACCGCGAGATTAATTAGTAAGATCAAGCCAACTTCTGTTAGCTAGAGTCTGTTTTGTTTCGCCGGAACGTACAGTTCAACTAGCCATTGAATTAATCATACGCTCATCTGTCCAATTCACGATAGATATTCTCGAACTCGAATTACCAAACAGACGAGTGTCACGGGGTTTAATAATACATGTCACTTTCGTGGTAATTAAAAAATGAAAATTGTATTATATAAACATAAAAATTTAAAAGCATATTAATTATGAATGTGTACCAAATTAGAGAAATGAGTTCTTCTAATTAGCCAGAACAACCAGCTACTGTTAAATTTATGGAAAAACACAAACAGGGAAAAGACTAATGCACATCCATCGGGCAAGGCAAGAGACCGAGGCTAACGGATTTAATGAAAACTGAGAGAACTTGTCGAGAATCAATTACCCTTAGTCGGGGAATGTTTACATTCGTCCGAGAGGGAAGGAAAGAACGAAATGGTGGGAACAATGGAATATTAGAGTGGGCCACGAAACACGGAAAAAATATGCACCCCGTTGCGAACTAATATTTGAGAGTCACAAATTCCCAGCGTTGCAGTAATTGCAGGTTTTTGTAGCCCCGGCTTGAATCGGTCGTGAATCAGCGTGCTCGCCGATATAAGCAAAACGGAAGTGCGGAACACTCGTAAAATACTGGCATTTTAGCGGTAACAGGAACTCGAAGTGAGTCTGAAAACAATTAATTGTTTTCCAGGAATTCGGTGTAAATTTTGTTGAAACACTTGCAGTGCTCTCTTCGAAAAATTGATATTAACACTCGTTCACGAAAGATGTTGGGAATCGATTAAAAATTTTTATTTCCCAATGTAACTATACGAGTTAAAACCACTTAACAATTTCCTTGATAACATCAAACTCACATAATTCTTCGAACAAGCCAGGTTCGAGAATACGAGCACCGTAAATTCCGAAAGTTTCTTCCCTTCCTGTCTATCAATGTCGACAAAACACTGTTGACGTAAAAGCTGATTACGCTGCGGATAATATTTGTTTCCATCTCCAGTTATCTTATTTTCGCTTCCGGACTTAATAATACCGTGATGTTTCGAAGTTGTTTATCATTTGCAAAACCAACTTGGAATTTCAATCATTTTAATGCAATACCATTATCACAAACGCAACAGAATAATACTAATTAATTAAGATCGTTAATATTTATAATTCCTTATCAACAGGTCTGCCGTTATGAACTGATGCCAAATACTTTCAACTGAAAATGTAATTGCGACCGAAAGTGGAACAATACTTGTTTTCCTGGAGATCTAAGTAGACGGTCGTCTTAAGTCGTGACTCCAATGGTTCGAACAGAGAGATCCGAAATCTCGGAGGTCAACGGGAAAATGAAATTAAGACAGCTCAATACCGAATTAGGACGGAATTCAAGGATTTATCAAGGATTAACTCCTGTACGCTACAGCTGCGAGTCTCCAGGCACCTCTCGTTTCCCAAGTCGACCTCACCATCACCATTCTCAGCTCTAAGTCTTCAGTCACAGAGGAACTTTATGTGGGTTAAGTAGTATCATGGTCCGTGCCACGCTCAAAGGATTTAGGGGTCAGGTATAGCCGAGTAGGTATAAAAAAAAAAAAACTGAACGAACGGAGTATTTCCCCGTGGAAGAATGTTCCCCGTCTCTTCAAACCGCCTATTGTGCTTAGGTTAATAACGACTGATGGTTAAAGCACCGTGTTAAATACGTACGTTTTTACCGCTACTCTTAAATCTCCCGGAAAAAGAAATAGCCCGGCCATGAATATACAATGGATTTCCAGGCTGAAGCAGTATTAGGTATTCTTCTTGAAACAGTTTTAAAACTAATGTTTATTGTTCTAAAGGACAGCCTGATATCTGCATTAGTACTCTGACTATCATTTCACGGAATATTAATTAATTAGCTTAGTTGATACACTCTGCTTGCCTAGCTAAAGAACTGGAGGTCGGATACAATTGTATTAGTACACCCTCACGAACTGAACAGTCGTTTAAAACTGTTAAGCCAGATTTTATAGCGCTATCTCGCACAGGAGCTTTCAAAGACGGTGAAATTCATGGCGATCCTTTTGAAGGCAAAACTCTTGGTGTTATCGATATGACAGATTTATGTCCGTAATATCGAAAGCATTAGACCTCTGACATATTGACAATCGCAAAGTTTAAAGAAGGAACAGAGGATATGAGTTTGATTTACAGTCTGGTGATACACGTCGCGCACTTACGCTACCTCCATATAAGGAAATCCGCTTGGACACGCTTATTTCCGGGATGTGAATAATTTAATCATCCTGTTAAATTATGCGAACCGGAATATCTACTGCGTAAGATAGAACAAACAGACTAATTTTTACCCTCGTAACATAAGATCATATTTGTAATAAGAATATTATTTCAACCTACTGTATACATCGCAGCTAACATTGTCAAGCTAATATTTAAACCAGCACGTTAAACTCTCAATTTCCAATAGCTCGCATACTGAAAGGTACGTATATTATGAAAAGTCCGGTTAGACAGGCCATGAAAAAGGAGGCAGAGATCGAGCAAACAGACCTGTTCGGAAAACGGAAGAGGCGGGGAGACAGTGAAGAATACAGGACCGTTTCCAGCGACCGACGATTTCTCCAGTGATTGTTCGCCAGCTGTCGGATTCAGTTTTAGACGGCCTTATATCAAACTCCGACGACACCGACGATGACGCCTACGTCGAGTACCGCCGATGACAATGCCGTGACCCGACGTACACACGTTGCTATTATCACCACTTGGTAAACACTTGGACAAATCTGTTTGATTAGCTTAGCCGTGCCTAGCGTGTTCCCAACGATTCACCCTGAGTTATCGCGTAAACGTGCCAAGTACTTCGTCCATTGCAGGGTGCAGATTGATATCAAGGTACGAATGAAATAAAATTATCAATTAAGCAAAAGGAGGACAGTAGTCATAAGACTATTGCATCGCATTGATAAATAAATTCTGATACATGAGAGAAGAAGAATACAAATATGAAGAGGAGGAAAATACACGAAACAAAAGATTGAGTACTTCAATCGTGAAGAATCAAATGACAAAGCTTACCAGCATAGAATGATCGTTGACATTAACACTGAGTTACGACAGCTATTTTTACAGAGAGGCTACTAGTGAATAAAATTTTAAGAGATGATTGTACAAACAAAAATAAGATAAATTCACGAATAAAACAAATGAGTCCGAGACTCTATTACTTACAAGCTATTAAACATTGCACCTAATGATAGATAAACCTATATACGTACCATCTGGTCACATTAGGTCGAGATGAAATGACCGAGACGGAGCTATTAATGGGAATAGGATGAAGATACAAATGCATGGTTTACGTAGTTTGCGAGTATTTAGAAACTAAACTGTTCTAACACAATTTTCATAGTTATTCCGTAATTCTAATAATTACGTTCGCACCACGAGACGAGAGAATTTACGGTTATTCACTTGTATATTATTTAAATCGTATAAAAGCTTGAACGGACGATCGATCGGACGAAACTGTTAATCCAAGCAAGTTTATCGCTCACGAAAATCTCCACTGTGCGTGTTTAATACGCCAAAAGTTATTCCTCTTCCTTTATATTGCGTTTGTCCTATCCGCTCCCCTACGAAGTTTGACACATCGTCGAACTACGACCGAATACGATGTCGGCTCCGGAGGAAACTTTTAAATAGAAAAGTTTCGCCCGGCCGCTTGGCGATCTTCTGCCCTGCGCTCGTTATCGTGCCTCGTTAACTGGTAAACGTTAATAACCGACAGACGTCGTAATTCTCAATTAACGTAATAGAAACACGACTGACGTGAAAGTAGACGTTTATGTGACGGTAGAGCCCTCTTGAAATTTATCAGACACATCCTCAAAACGGTTTACATGTTCGTCAGAGTCGCGAGCATCAAACTCGTAATTAGCACGTCGAAAATAGTGACTAATGTACATAATTACTCTTTTATGCTATATAATTACCGATAAAAAGAATTGCATTTCATATATACTTAATAAAAAGTAACTGATAATAGAGAAATTTTTATCATTGCATTGAAGCATTTAATAATATGCAGTAATTATAACGTGCCTTTATTAATTATAATAGTTCATAGTCGAAGTTAATGAAACATAATTTATTAGAATTGTTCTCTAATTAATATATACTGCAATATTCCACATTCGTTTGACGATACAAAACAGAGGAAAGAATATTTCTAATTTCCACTCTCAGATTATAATAACGAGCATACACGTGAATGAATTGTATACTCCAACTTTATTGCATTTTCTCCATATTAGAAACTTCATTTAAATTTCTCGCGTCAATACAGGAGTCAACCCGTATCAAAGATTATAACAATGGTTATTGATGCTGCCTTAAACTTCAATGATCTTTAATTTCGTTAGACCGAAAGATTTAACGGGCTCTGACTTCATAAACCTCTGTGATCGCGAGGATCTGTTCTCCGTTCCAATAAATGCTCCTTTTGACTCTTTTATAAAGTTCTCTTAATTCTTCCTGATTATAAATCGTGATTCCTCGCAATGATAATTCTTTTGAAATAATCCTCTCTATTACTTCAAATTGCTATCTATATCTTATGCTATCTATATCTTATTTCCTGTTCATTCTCTGAACATTATGTTCAACATGATATAGAAAAATGATATGAAATGTGTTAAACTGTGTACAACTGTTTAATTAAATAAGAGATTTTCACTGTTCCTAAATTATTTATGTATCATTTCGCAAGAAAGCGAATAAACTTGGCATGTCTCTGCACAAGATTTAAAATTGTATTTCGAAAGACGGGAAAAATAACTTTATTAGAGAAGTGAAGATGTCTGGTTTCAGTTGAAAATAGACAGTTTTCGTATTTCATCCCTTGATTTTCTACATAACTTCCAGCGTAAAGTCTACGTATTTGTTCAAACTCAATAAAAATTTATGAGTCATAGATATAAAAAGGAACAACTAATATTACATCCGTAAAAATAGCATTGTGAAACTTGCGACACGCTAGTTGATTTATTAATTAGGAACCGTTGCACGTTTCTAAAATTTCAAATTGAATTTTCACCAATTTTAGCAAAATGAACATTCTCAGTTCTGATTGAGTTACGGAAATTCATTTGCCGATGAAACAACAAATTAAATACGATTAATTTTGCATTCTGAGATGAAATAGGAAAATTAATGCAACGGGAAATAGAACAGAAATATCTCACAGATGACAACCGAAACGTGTGCAAATAATAATACAATTGAAATGAAAGAATAATATATAGCAGTGGCATAAACTCACCTCAAGTCCCCTTTTTGTAAAGAAATTTCTTCAAAAAATAGACGTATTCTCTCTTTTAATCTGGAATCAAATAAAAGTTACCACATTATTAGAGTACTAGAAGGTAATATGTGATGCTCGATAATAATAATAATCACGTAAACAATAACTATGAATCATAAACGTTTGGTATACATACACACCTAATTCACAATTATGCACGAAACATTGCCGCAACTATTAGACATACCGACCTGCAAACGCTATTCTGACTCAATTATTGCAATTAAATAGAAGCCACAAATTATACCTGCGGATTACCGATTAAATTCATTGCGACATATAGAAATTACTAAACCGATTATGATTTTTACCTAAGAAACTAACAATAGGAACTGAATATATTGTAGAATCTCTTCATTGCACGTGAAAAACATCGATCCAATATGAACTCGAATAATTATAATTGGATACGAGACTTTTAATTTACAGATAAGAGAATAGCAACATACATCGTCCTAACTGAAGTAGAAAAATAAATGGAATCTTCGCAGAAAATGTTACGATTGATTAGCAAAACTCTTTTAAAAAAATACAATTGCTTTTGAGAGACCGCATCTGGTAAAGTTGACATGAGATAACTGAATCAAAGAAATGAGTCTGGTAAAGCTAGAAACCTAATTATTAACCTCCATTAGGAAGTGGCTGTTAGATTCATAAGAACTCTTTTGCTGTTATTCCATGTCATAAGCTTTTCAGTTCTTTATAAACGTAACGAAACATGATAAACCGAGACCAGTTCCGTGATTAAAATTAGACGAACAATATTAAATACGAACACTCAGATCGTTAAAATATTCAGATTGTCTTTTTAAACAGCAGAACAGATGCAGTTTCTTATTATCCGCTTTTAGTTAATTACGATTATGATATTACTTAGACATGAAGAGTACTGGCATTTCCTGCAGCACGATCCGTATAACTCACTCTTTCCTTACTCGGCCCTTTATGCGATTATACAGAAAACGCTCGGCACAACTGGCGCAAAGTTTCGACAGTCAGAGTAACAAGGAGCGGAGATGAGAAACGAGGAAAGTTACGCCGGTCAGGAAACCGGAAAATGTCTGGTGACAACAGGGGTAACCGCTCGTTGTAACAAAATTAGGCGCGAGAAGAACGAATGTCACGTTCTATATTAGATATCTGGCGAATATGCGATGCAATATTTATTAAATTCATTATGTGTTCGATATCATCTGATCCAACAGTATATGTCTGATATTTTCTATTAATAAAACCTAGCAGAAATAATGCAGGGGCAGATGACACAAATGTAAGAAAGTCAGAATTAGGAAAGCCAATATTCTAACGAATGGCGAGTTCCAGACGCCCAGAACTCCAATTTGGGCAAGGCCTGCAATACGTGGTCCTCGACGACTGGACATGAGGGGGGAAAAAGCTCTCCGGACAGGACTTCTTCCATAATGCTTGACTGACGATGAGTTGCATCGTCAGCTCTCTTAGTAGATTCTCTTTTTAAATTAAAACGTTTATTTCCAGTTTATTCACGACTCAACATAACAAAAGAATGATGTCAACTATACGTGCTGTTTAAGGATGTATAGGCTATACATATACTTAAACAATGCTGGCAT